GGGCCATTTCTAGGCATAATAATATGTTTTTTTTCCTCTAATCACTACATTATAAAAGAAGTCCATTTTTTGTTAGGCGCCTTAGCACTTCAGTATTTTCATTTGTACATCTAGGTTACTCTTGGGCGGAGGCCGGTAAGGGCCAAGTCCAACAGTCCAACACCATGTGGCTAGGGGATTGTTGGGCAAAAGCCAGTAAAGGCTAAGTCCAGTACTTTGGCTCTCGAAAATGTGTGGAGGTATAAGGAAATAAGATTGCGCCTTCGCTACGAGATATAGCTTTTGGCGTAGTGCTAAAGGTTTGATCCTAACAAGTGGTATCAAAGCCAGGTCACAGGATTGACACCCTGGCTTTAGTGTAGTGGATCCTAACAATTACCCTGACATTGACCTTATCATAGTTGAGAGTTTCCGCACTAGGATAAATTCTATGCCCAACATTTTAAGCTCATGTATGTGCAACTGTAAGTTGTAGTAATGACATTTTCTGTCTACTATCTTCATTCATCATTGGTAAAAATTCACTGTGAATGTTTTGAATATATGCTTATACCTTAATGTATCTGTGAAGTGCAGCTAAAAGAGAACAGGGATGGATTCCTTTAGATTGGGAAACCCGTGTGCGAATCGCAATTGGTGCAGCCAGAGGTATTGCCTACATCCATGGTCAGAGCGGAGGGAAGCTTGTCCATGGGAACATCAAATCATCAAACATCTTCCTCAACTCTGAACACTACGGATGTGTATCTGATCTTGGCTTGGCAACACTGATAAGTCCAATTGGTCCACCCGTGAGGCGAACTGCAGGGTACCGTGCCCCAGAAGTTAAGGACACGAGAAAAGCAACACAGGAATCCGACGTCTACAGCTTCGGTGTCCTGCTGTTCGAACTTCTAACCAGAAAGTCCCCGACACACGCCATGGGCGGGAACGAGGTTGTCGACTTGGTAAGATGGGTGCAGTCCGTGGTTCGTGAAGAGTGGACCGCAGAAGTGTTCGACGTCGAGCTTCTGAAGTGTCCTAACATAGAGGAAGAAATGGTGGAGATGCTGCAAATAGGGATGAGCTGTGTAGGCAGAATGGCAGAGCAGAGACCAAATATGTCAGATGTTGTGAAGATGGTAGAGGGCATTAGAAGAGTGAATACCGGAACCCAACCGTCCACAGAAGCTTCAACTCCCACCCTGATGACACCACCCATTCCGGACGCAGGATCATCTTCTTCACATCCACACTGATTTACTGTGTTCATGTTTTATAGGAAATATGTTTATTCAGCCCCAATTGTTTTATATACATCTTCGTCCACATCTAGTTTCCATTTTTTAAAGATAATTATTTGAAGTTTGTCCCATGTTGATTTACCTCTTAACTCAGTTCGACAAATAAACAAGTGTCATGTGATTATACCCACTTTTTGTTATTTGGATACTCTTAAGAACGTTTGGTTCACGTGGTTCATGAAATCTTAGATTATGGAGAATGTTAAATGGTTAGAAATGTTAGATTTCTATATTTTGTTAAAATTGAGATATGCGTTTCAAAATAATAATAATAACCCAAGTATGTAAGATAAATTTATTTGGTTGAGAGTTATTTTTAAGAAAAATTGTAATTTATACCATATTCTTACACCAAACCTCTTTTTTATTATTATTTTTTTAAAAGCCAAAACATCAAACTTTTTCCCTAAACCCTACACTAAGGGTCCGTTTGGAAAGCAGGAAAATGACTTCTGGAAAATGTTTTCTGGAAAATTAGTCATTTTTCGGAAAACATTTTCCTTTCCAGTGTTTGGTTGCATTCTGGAAAACTATGGGGTTGTTTACTAACTTGGAGAAATGGAGAATTTTCCAAAAAAATGGAGAAATTGAGAAGTGGAAAAATGGAAAATGGAAAACCTGTTTACTAAAATCATCCTTCCAATTGTCCAACTCTTCTCCATTTTCCAAGTCTATGTATAATTTTGGAGAGATCCAATTTGGACTTCTCCAAATGGAGAAATGGGAGAAGATGCGCGTGAACAGTGCTTATGAGTGGTTGTGTTTGTTCATTTCTCTTCCTTCTTTTTCCTTTCTCTTCCTTCTTTTTCCTTTGTTTCCGTTTAACTTATTATTATTATTATTATTATTATTATTATTATTATTATTATTATTATAATTATTTTTATTATCTTTTTTTTTCTATTTTCATTTTTCCTCCTCTTTATGCACACAAATTTATTATTATTATTATTATTATTATTATTAATATTATTATTATTATCCTTTTTTTTTCTATTTTCATTTTTCCTCCTCTTTATGCACACAAATTTGTTATTATTATTAAATTATTGTTATTATTATTACTATGGCTCCTCTGGAGGGAATGCCACTTTGAATGAACTCATGAAATTTGACTAATATTTTATTTTATTTTAAGCATATGTATATATCATAATGGCATAATTGCGATGAATGTGGTTCATATTTTCAATGAGCATGGAAGACAATCATAATAATATACTAGGCTAATTAAAAGAGCACATTTACATTTGAGCGCATAATATGCCTACTAACTTCTGTACAGAAATGAACGCCCCAGAGGGGGGGGGGGGGCGTTTGATTCATGCTATATTATTATTATTATTATTATTATTATTATTATTATTATTATTATTATTATTAATATTATCTTTGTTGTAGAAATGTACAAATTCTATATAGAATGATTGTATTTAACAAAATAGAAAATCTGAGAAATGAAAAATTGGAAGAATGGAGAAATGGAAAACTGGAGAAATGGAAAAGGAAAACTAGAGAAATGGAGAAATGGAAAACTGAAAATGGAAAAACAGAAAAATGAAGTAAACGACCCCTATTTTTGTGTGTTTGGTTCATTTTCTGAAAAATGAGTACAATTGTATAATTAAACATTTTAATTCTTTTATTTAGAATATTACAACATGTATATATAATAATATAATAATATAATAATAATTTTAAATATAATAAAAACATAACTAATAATATATCAAAAATATTATGGTGGTAGTGGTGGTGTAGTGGTAGTGATGTTATTTGTTATATAATAATAATAATAATAATAATAATAATAATAATAATAATTGGTGGTGGTATGACGGTGTGGTGGCGGTGGTTGCGGTGGTATGGTGGTGGTGGTGGTGGCGGCGATGGTGGTTGCGATGGTATGGTGGTGGTGGTGGCGGCGGTGGTGGTGTGATGGTGGTGGTGGTGGCGGCGACGGTGGTTGTGGTGGTATGGTGGTGGCGGCGGTAGTGGTAGTGATGGTGGTGGTGTGGTGGCAGCGACGATGGTTGCGATGGTATGGTGGTGGTGATGGTGGCAGCGGTGGTGATGGTGGCAGCGGTGATGGTGGTATGGTGTTGGTGGTGGTGTGGTGGCAATGATTGCGGTGGTATAGTGGTGGTGGCGGCAGTAGTGGTAGTGATGGTGGTAGTGAAGTGGTGGTGGTATGATGTTGGTGGTGGTGTGATGTTAGTGTAAAAGTTGGAAAATGACTTCCCATAAAAAAAGGAAAAGTCATTTTCCTAAAAAACAAGCCTATTTTCCAAAGTCAACGGAAAATGATTTCCGTTGACTTGATTTTCCAGACACATCCAAACAATGAAAACTTGAAAAATGATTTGCAGAACTCATTTTTCAGGTTTCCAAACACACCCTAAATTATTGTATTCTCAATTTCTCATATTAAAACTTTATTTTTTTACTTTAATTATTTTAATATAAAATATAATTTTGATGTAAATAATAGTAATATAAAATACATTGAAGCTATGTTTTGTATATTTTAATGTTTAATTAATCTATATTCAACATTAGTCTCATTTAATTTTAAACCACTCAATGAGATTCCAAAATGCTATAATTTGTTTCTAATAATACAAATTTTAAGTTTATGTATTTAACAAATTATATAAATACAAAAAAAAAAAAAAAAACAAAAAAAAAAAACAAAAAAAAAAAAAACCACACACACAAACTGACACACAATCTCTACGCCAAAATGGCGTAGATAAAAAATAGAGTTAATACCTAAAATGGTCCCTCGACTATGCCATAATTACCAATTTGGTCCTCAACTACCATTTTTACCCATTAAGTCCACAACTATGTAACTTTTACTCAATTAAGTCCTCAACTATACAATTCTTACCCAATTTAGTCCTCGACTATACAATTCTTACCCAATTTAGTCATCTGTATTAATTTGACTGTTTGTTGACTGTTAAAAGTCGGGATAAAATTATAATTTTACAAGATTTCTCCTTCCTCTCCATTTAGCAGCGCCAAACCATGCAGCAATACACTCCGATCAGATTTCAATCGTCAAAAAATGGTTGAAAATCAAATTCATGGGCTATCCGATGCACAACCACTACTTCGATACTGACAGGTTTAGAACCCAACCGGAGCTTATTGCTACATGGTTTAGCGCTGCTAAATGCGGAGGAAGGAGAAAACTTGTAAAATTACAACTTTATTTCCACTTTTGACAGTCAACAAATAGTCAAATTGACAAAGGACTAAATTGGGTAAAAATTGTATAGTTGAGGACTTAATTGGGTAAGAATGATAGTCGAGGACCAAATTGGTAATTACGACATAGTCGAGGGACTATTTTGGGTATTAACTCTAAAAAATATATGGCGCATCACATTTCCTTTTAGCCAAAATGGCATCAACTTTGGCACTTTCCTTGAATCAAATTGCACCAAGATTGACACCATTTTGGTGTTTTATTGTCTTTACTTGGAGAGTTAGAGGTCGCCTTCTTAATAAGACCAAATTGACCAATAAAGAACTAATTTCAACCACATATATAGTAGCGTATAGTTCCTACCACATTACTTCATATTGAGAAGCCTTAGACTTACCCAATTTGACTACATACAGTAGCCTACAGTAAGACCAAACTGACTAAAAAAGAAGTATGTTGAACAAGCCATATGCTTCAAAGACTTGCTAGTCACTTAAACCTAAACAAAAATCCAAATATGAAAATCTTAATAAACTGCCCATGCAGGCTTCCAATATGTTAGTTAACACTATGGAAATGAGACTTGAAACCCAAACTAGTTCATTAACAAATTCGAAAGAATGAGTACCTTCCTTTGCTATTGCATTCTATTCATACTTACCAACATACAACAATAGAATGTTACAACATCTCCCAACTTCGAGGGTACACAAACTCATAAAAATAAGAAACAACAAACTCCCATATCTTGAAATGGCAAAGCAGATAGCTGCTGTGGCCTGCAGGCTTGCGAACAGTGAAATATCCAACTTATTTTCGCACAAATTTTGTTTTAACACCACCTGGAATCCAAAAATGTTCAAAAGGTTTTAGAATTATACAAGCCAGTATTGTCTGTACTCTGTAGTTGAAACACAAACAAAAAAAAAGAATTAATTCTTTGAAAGAACTATCACCAACCTTCAACCTCCTCGAATTGAACTTCTTTCACTAGGTTAGCAGCTGCATTATACTCAAACCTGAAAATTTTAAAAAGCAGATCATGAAAAAGTACCGGAAAGTCAAGAGAGACTGTTTAAAGAAGAGCCTAAGGGGAATGGAAGTGGGCCGTAAAAGTCACTTTGACATAAGCACTGCAGCGTTTATATTACCTATTGGAGAGCAAGACATCAAGTTCATAGTTCGATGCACTCTTGGTAGCATCCACTAAGACCGTTACAATTTCAGTCTTCCGAGTGCTAGCAATGAGTACATCATACTCTGTCGGGATAATAATGGCAACAAAGTTATCACTAAGTTCACTTAAGCAGAGCTTCTCCACAGCTGCCAGGGCAATCCTCCTCTTAAGAGCACCAGTGTCTGGGTCTACAATGTAAATTGCAAAATCAGTGATAAGAAGAATGCGCCTCTTCATCTTTCCTGAACCCGTGAACTTTAGAACTTTATCAGCGAAGAGAACTTTTCTGTCCCCTGCAAAATATAACAGATGGATAAGTTTTCCCCCTTTGAAGATACAAGATGTAAATATTACTCGTACTAAATAACAGTCCATGTATACTCATGCTCCTCAAAAATCAAGCTGCTCTCTTCCCTTCTCTCCAGGAGTTGTGTCAACAAGTTTTGAAAAGTTCAGCCCACACGGGCTTAGCTCACTGATTCAGTAGGTTGTATTTGGGAGAAGAGACGAAAGTTCTAAACTCGACAGCGACAGTGTAGATTATGTCTAAAGTGGACAAATCCCTTGTGCTCCCCGACATTTGGCTTTGTCTGCTCCACTGAGTTGCTGTGATTTATATCATTCCAAATGCTCAGGCCGGAGTATGGGTGCCCTTGGGATTGGGGATCCAATTTTGGGAGAAGTTTTGCAAAGCTCACCATTTTATTTAATCATATTCTACACAATTGGGCTATACGTCTAAAACATGACTTCTCTAACTCCCCCCACAAAAAATGCAAAATCGGAGAAAATGGCGTCGTCATTGATGCATAAATTATTGAAAAGTTTAATTGCAAAAATTATTGATATCTATAGCTATTTGATTAAATTTAAATTATAATTATAAATTATCCTCTACCATCAGAGTTCCAACGCCATCATGAAGTTCTGAAGCCTAAATTAAAGCATAATCTTGAATTATTCGATCAGAGAAATTTAAAACACAGAGTAATCACAAAACAATAATCTAAAATCTCTACTCTATCAAAGCAAATTATTGGAATTCAGTATTCAATTATTCGGAGCTCCGAGAAAAAAAATACCTTGTTTTTCGAGAATTTTCATGAGGTAAGGATGAGAAGGCACGTCGAGATAATCGCCAAGGTAATCTCGATGAAGAGACGCTTTTCTCCTCACCTTCACTCCCATGAATAGTTCCTGATCTTCTGTCACATTGCTCTCCGACGGCCGGAGCTTCATACTTCCTTCGTCTTCGTCGTCGTATCGGACTTTTCCGGCTGGATCTGGTTCTATTTGGACTCTCCGATTTGACTGATACCGTAAAATTCTCGGCGGGGAAATGACCGGTGGCGTGATCCGCCGCGTTCACGCCGCCGGATTTATGGTTACTGTGTCAATAGTATTGACCAAGAGATAGGCAGGTTTGACTTGGCGAATGGCTAATTATATTAGCCGCTGGGCGGTTGTTATACCATGGACTAGGATTTTAAGGTGGATCCTGATTTTAAATTGTGTATTTGTATTATTAGAATTGTGAATATTTAGAATATAAATTGTATTTTTAAATTTTAAAAATTTGTGAATAGAAAAAAAGATCGTTATAAATTATAAACATTTATTATGTAAATTGTGTATTTTTGAATTCGAGTCCACTTTACAAGGTGAATCTGAATCTATAGAATAATTTGCCGCTGCTAGGTGCACCATCCGATTAATACAACTCGCCCTCATTTTATTTTACTATTATTTGATTTTTTTGATTTACGATGAAAATTCGTAGCTAATATAACATTTTTTAAACATTCATAATTTTTTACAAAATAATATATGTTCTATATTGTCTTTTCAATTTTTTTTTCATAAATAATTTGGTATATATAGCGGTTTCTTGGGCGGTTTGCTGGAAACTGAGATGGACTCTTCGAAGAAGAAAGAAAAGAGAAATAAAATGTCTAAAACACCCTTATTATTTTACCTATTAATATTTTCTGGTGAGATTTGGCCTGCAATTTGGCCGGAGGCCCAGAGTGACAAAATTTGATAAAATTTGAATAGTTAAGGTACTAAATTAACAGTTTTAAAAGTCGTGGATTGCAATAAACAAGACCCCAATAATTATTGGACCAACATTAAATTTTACTCTTTTTACTTATTACAAACGTAGAAAATTAAAGTTATGATTTGCAATGAAAATTTGTAATGAAACTTTTTTTTTTGAAAGGATTTGTAATGAAACTTATTTTGTTGCAGTGTTGCAATATGGAAATTGCAACACTTCTGTATTTCGTCGCAATTTTGCAATAGAATGAAAATTTTGTTGCAACTATGGTGCAAAATATAAAAAAGGTGCCAAACTCTGGTGGGAAGCACTTTTGCAATGGACAAATAAGTCCGTTGCAATTCTTGCAATTGGATTCCCAATGGATGTAAAAACGGTTGTAAATGTTTTTTATTTTTAAAAAATCAATTAATTTGCAATTGAAAAAAAAAAATCGTTGCACAATCGATCATAACAAAATTCATTTACTACTAAAAATTTGTTAACTATTAAAACATTAGCATAATTACAATTATTTCCCACATTTTAAAATTGATCTTAACCTTGATTTTGATTTTTAGATTTATCAGTTCGCACCCACAAATAATTTTGAGAAAATTAATAATGTAGTAAAATTATTTTTTAAAATATAAGATGCATGATACAAGCAAGTGAGTGCTCATTTTATTTCAATATGTTTGGTTATAATTTCAATTTGACATTTGTGTGTTTAAACTTTAATATTAATTTTTGTATGAACTAATTTTATGAATTATAAACATTTTGTTTTACTTTATATATTTTCAAATATATGTTTTTACTTTATATTTTATTAAAATATATTGATTTCATTATTTTATATTTATTAGATACATCATGGAGTTGGAACGGAAAAGAAAAAAGAAAAAGTAAGCATTTTGTGCAATTATAACATCGTATGCCACAATTGCTTTAACCAAAACATATTACTATAAATATATTTATAAAGAACCTTGTATGACTTCACTTTTTATAGGACAGGAATAGATGAGAGAAGTCTTGAATGGATATCCTATTCGATGTGTAAATGCATTTAGAATAGACGACTCCGCTTTGTTTAAGCAATTATGTGAAGACTTATATTCAAAATATGGATTGCAATCTACTAGGAATATATCAGTTGTGGAGAAAGTTGATATATTTATATACACACTTGCTATGGTCATCTTCCTCTCACCGTTCAAAAATGAAGTCTCATACACCATCTCTCAGCCACTCTCTCTGTTTGTGTACAGTTATCCCGTGTATATATATACAAATGGTTAAATTAATGAAAAAGGTTGGCTGGTGTTTTCGTTCAATTTTGCTCTTCTTCTTTATATTGTTTTCATTTTTCAATATACAATACCACAAGATTCACACGAAATTACGTTATGATTTACAACATTATTAAAAAAAAAATTACATCATAAAAACACAACACTCATATGAAATTGAATCAAAACCAAGCATCATAAAAACACAATCTCATACGAAACTGGATCAAAACCGAGGATTAACTAAATCGAAACAAAAAAAATCAAAATATGTAACGAATTATAAAAATTAACAACTTTTTAAGTAAAATTGTAATTTTTTTTATAGAAGTTTTAAATGAAAATTGTAATTTATGTACCTCACAAATATATCTTCAAAAAAAAAAATGTACCTCACTAATATGTCAATTACCATTGTCACCCTTGAATTATTAGTGGTGTAATGATGACGATGATGATTGATGATACAATCAAACAGGAACTTTGTTTCCACCCACATTTTCAAAGCATGTGCAAAATTTGGCCAGTCTCCTACCACTTAGTGTGCTGACAGTAGGGACTGGGGATTTAGTCTTCTGGCTATCGGCTGGAGGGATACCTTTGGGCAACCAAAAAAAAAAACATGTGCAAAAATTTTGGAGAAAAATTCTCAATTCTCAATTAATTTATGCTTATGCATTTTCTCAATAACATAATTTTTTGGAGAAAAATTCTCAATTATCAATTACTTTATGCTTATGCATTTTCTCAATAACATAAACCAACATGGTTGACGTGGTGGTTCAGCTCCTTATCCCTTAAGTATGAGGTTGGGGGTTCGAGCAAACTATTTGGCTAGTCCCCTACCACTTATCACTTAGTGTGCTGACCGTAGGGACGGGGGATTAGTCTTCTGGCTGGAGGGATACCTTTGGGCAACCAAAAAAAATTTTCTCAATAACATAATTTTGTGTGAGTTTTTATAAAAAAAAAAAAAATCGAGAGAGTTCAACAATCAAAATATAAAAACTATTATGTATTTTACACGCCGTGGTCTTATGAACTGGGAAATAATACATTTGCTACAGTTATAAAGTATAACACAGATTTAGTAGTCATACAATAAACAATAAGTAAAATTTATAGTATATTATTTTATAAGAGCTGAGATATTCATTACTCCAATTCAGATATAATTTCTAGTCCACTAGTGAAGAGTTTCCCTGGCTTGTTAGCTTTAGCTTTTGATGGATCAGTGGAAGTAAAAGGATTGGGTGGCATGGAGGGAGGCTCCTCAGCTTCAAGCATCTGAATCACAACCTTTATTGAAGGTCTATCCACAGGATACCACTGAATGCACCAAAGTCCAACTATTGTCAGTTTCTTTGCAATTTTGGAATCCTCTTCTTTCTCTATTTGGATCTCTACTTCTTCTCCCCTGTTTAGGATATTGTAAATCCAATCTGGGAAATAGTCTTGCCTTGTTTCAGGTGATTCAGTAATCTCACTCTTTTTCCTTCCCCCCACCATTTCGAGCAAAAGCATTCCAAAACTGTAAACGTCTGACTTATACGAGACATTCCCAAAGTTGCGGGAGAAGACTTCTGGTGCGATGTAGCCCATGGTTCCTCTTGCAGCGGTCATGGAGACAATGCTTTTCTCCTTGGAGCACAGCTTTGCTTGACCGAAATCAGAGATTTTCGGGTTGAAATTTTGGTCCAGCAATATGTTACGAGGTTTAATGTCGAAATGCAGTATCCTTTGATCACACCCTTGGTGAAGATACTCAACTCCTTTGGCTATGCCCAGAGCAATCTGCTGCAATTTCTCCCAACCAAGAAAATTTGTGTCATTTGGTGAAAATAAAAACTTTTCAAGAGAATTATTCACTAAATATTCATAAACAAGAGCTCGATGGAACCCATCTGCGCAATAGCCAACCAATCGGACCACATTGATGTGGTGTATGCTTCCAATTGTGCTCATTTCATTCACAAAGTCTTCCCCATCTCCATCTCCATTGGAATTATTGAGTGCCTTAACAGCAACAAAAACATCATCGGAAAGCTTCCCTTTGTACACTGTACCATAGGAGCCTTCACCTAATCTTTCACTAAATCTGTCTGTAATTTTCTTGATATCTGCATATGAATACCTTGCTGGTTTAAGAGCCTTATAGTCCTCCAAGAACCTTTCAATCTTCACTTGCTCCTCTTTCTTCATTTTATTCGAGCTATAAACACGGTACGTGATAAGAGCGATCAACACAACAAGAAACGAACCAAGAACCTCACCTGCAAGCACATTCAAGCACACTGTTATTGTTACTGTTACTGTTACCCCTAATGATCAGATCATTCTAAAAGAATGCTTCACCTCTGATCTGAACAAATGAATAGACACATTAAAGGTAAGGGTTGATCAAATTTTCACCTGCAACCTTCAATTTTCTCAGTGGGCCTGTATCTGAAAGATAACACAAAATTAGTTGGTATTCAAGTGAAAATTTTCATTGATAAGAAAATTAAACCACTTACTGAATCTCGAAAGAAAGAGCATCAAGTGGGTGAAGGGTAGAATTAGAATTGGTTTTAAATAACAAAAACATGAAACATGAAAGTAGAATAGTATGAGCAGAAGATGAGAAGAAAAACAAGAGTACTTAAACTGCACGCACCACCGACCTCTACTTGGCTCAGTCCAGCTCAAACTAAATTCAGTGAAGTAGTAGGGGACTGATGAAATGTGAAACATTTTTGTGCAAGAAATTAGATCTGTTGCAGTGTAGAGATATTCGGAAGACGCCACAGCATAAATGAAATGGCCTGGTTTGGTAAGGCAGGCTATCGGGGATATATAAATCGAGGCTGCAGTGATGTTCCTGTGTGTGGAGCAGCTGAAAATGCTGAAGTCATAAAGACCATTGAAACTGAAGGGAGCTGAAGCAGATAAGTTTAGTATGGGGATCAGTTGTAGGAAGCAGCCATCCACCCGAGATATTAGAATCTCATGATATTCATAATCTATATCCTCTATAAAATACTTTACTGGAAATGGAGGTTGCAGGGTGGCGTTGAGAAGTGGAAAAGGATTCTCCAAGGCAGTTTCTCCCTTATCAGTGCATAAAAGCTCAAATCCGGGGTAGCCACACTCTGGGGGCTGAATGCCTTTGAGTCGAAATGGGAAGGAGATTTCAGGGCCATTATTCCCACATTTTCTGGGCAAGCATTCATTGCGATTATAGCCATAGCCATAACCCAAAGTCAAAAAGAGCACAAGAATATTGGGAAGATGCAGGAAATAGGCTTTCCCCATTTATGGAGATCGATCAGAGAATAGAAACTATAGATAGATACAACGAACTAGCTGAGGATGATGGAGTTGTACAGTATTTGTTTCACCAAGTCTTTTAGCTTGTTAGCTTGCTTGGAGTAGGAGGAAGTTTCTGCATGCTGTCACCATACATACATGACAATGCAAATTAAAGTTGACTTAGCTTAATTGTCTTTTTTTTTTTAGTCATCTTGTTTTGTTTGTAGTGAGTGTAGTGTTCTTCATTTCTAGATCCATTCTGACTCAGACTTGTTAGGATCAAATGTTTATCACTATGCCAAAAGTTATAGCTTATTGATCGTCATCATATTTTCAAAAGGTAAAGTGTTGTACTTGGTCCTTCACTGGTACGATCTCCACCCAACAATTCCATAATCTTCTAGGTGGATTTGGCCTTTTACCAGCCTCCGCCCAACAAGACTAGACTCTTGCTATTCCAAGGAAAATTAATATCATCAGAGACAAAGACATACAACTTATTCAATATTGGCGTGGTAGCTTGAATTGTCCAAGGAAACTACTGAGTAGTTAACTTCTCAATTCCCTTTGTAGAGGCCAGGCCAAGAAAGACTTTAGAATTAGAGCAACTTCAATAGTTTGATGATTTTTCATCAGTTTTAATTTGTATGGGATCCAGCATCCACCTCATGATCTATTATCTCACTCAATCACAAAATCATTTCCTCATTATATTAGTTTTAAGTTTCTTCTCAATTTTTTTTGTGAATTCACCATTTTACTAAACTATATTTTAATTTTAAATTTATAATTGTAATGAAAATTAAATTAATTAAAATAAACATATCTACATTTAATTAAAATGATAATTACAAACATTTAAATTAATTTTTGTTGTTACTTTATTTATTTTAATTATTTTAAATTTTAATTGTAATTAAATAATTCAAAAAATATATTACATATCTAAATTTTGTGAAAATTTTAAAACAAAAATAATTAAAAAATAAAAAAAAATAAAAACAAATTAATTTTTTTTTAAAGCTACTGAAAGAAAACAGAAAAGAATTAAAAAAAAAAAAAAAAAAAAAAAAAACAACAACAAACAAAGACTCCCAATAAAAAAAATTCCTTTTATAAATTTATATATATATAAATATATTTTATGATTAAAAAAATATTACACATCTTACGTTTTAAAATTTCAATAAAAAGACTTTGTAAAAATTAAGTAGTTAAGAGTAAAGTTATCATTACATATATATTCTGTAGATTAAGTCTAACCTATTTATTTAGACTTTCATAACCCAAGTGAGATCATCAAATTGGACAGATCTTTGATATAATATACTTTGTTTTTAATGATAAAATTGTAGTCAGTCCAATTTAGAACAAATTTATAGATCTGATTTTGATATAAAAATCATTAAAGTCGAATGGTTGAACCATTCACATAGCTAACTGGCACACAGAACTATAAATCATTAAATTGTTAAATACAATACAAGCGAACTAATTTCACTTTTGGTCCCACGACTTTAGAGGTTCTATCATTTTTGGTGCACAACTTTAAATTTTTTCAATTTTGGTGTCTAACTTTGTTATTTTTATCAATTTTGGTCCTTTCGACCAAATTGACTGCGAAATATTGCCGGATTTTACATTTTAGGGGCAAAATCGTCATCCCAAGGAAAGATATTCAATATCTAAACAAAAGAAAAATCATGTTAAGAGAAATATAAGAGTTTGGCAATCGATGCTATAAATCTCATAGATTTGTGTCTAGTTTCTGTCCGTCTTCCCAATTATTCTCATCGATCAAACACCTATAGATATGATTTTAGAGTGATTTTGTTTAGATATTGAAGATGTTTCCTTGGGATGACGATTTTACCCCTAAAAATATAAAAACCAACAATATTTCGTCATCAATTTGGTTGAAAGGACCAAAATTGATAAAAACAACAAAGTTAGGCACCAAAATTGAAAACTTTTAAAGTTGTGCACCAAAAGTGATAGATCCTCTAAAGTCGTGGGACCAAAAGTGAAATTAATTCCAATACAAGCAAAGCAAACATACATGAATCCATAATCCATAAATGAACTGATAATCTATTATAAATTAGAATCTATGTACAAGTTTTAAATACAGTAGCTATGTATATGAGATGGACTTTACGAGAGATCAGATAATGGAGGGTTTTATTTGGTGGTGTGTGAAAGAAAGAAGAGAAAAAGGTGGAAGGGAAATTTAGGGAGAAGAGACGCATCCATTATTATTAGAGTAAATACTCAAAATGGCCCATCGACTATAACTAAATTCACAAATTGGTTATTGACTTTCAATTTCAACCAATTAAGTCCTTAACTTTGCAATTTTGACACGATTTGATTCTTCATCTATTTGACCGTTTGTTGACCGCGATCTTTGAGGATATATATGTAGTTTCACGTGCAAAGCTCAAGAGAACGCTCTTGGAGGTGACATCGTTGTTTCGGAGGGGGAAGTGCTTCTCCGCTTGCTGCTTGGGGATCACGAGCCGGTTCAGCTTAGAGAACACTCTTGGAGGTGACAACGCCGTTTCGGAGGGGGGAAGTGCTTCTCCGCTTGCTGCTTGGGGATCTCGAGCCGGTTCAGCTTGCCTACATCGCTTAGAGTCACGGCTTTCTCGAAGAGCCACTCCAGGGACTTCGGCGATCTATCTATCAAAAGCTATAATCTCTCCGGCATGGGGTGCAGTGCCCGCAGTGGATTCAAATGTAACAGTGCGGTCTAGAAATGCAATCGAAACCTTAAAAAATCGATGATGGACCATGAAATTACATATATATCCTAAAAAAGTGCAGTCAACAAACGGTCAAATAGACAAAGGACCAAATTGTGTTAAAATTGCAAAGTTAAGGACTTAATTGGTTGAAATTAAAAGTCGAGGACCAATTTGTGAATTTAGCTATAGTCGATGGACCATTTTGAGTATTTACTCTTATTATTATTATTTTAATTTATTAACTTTCCGGTACACCGTACACTTCCACGTGACAAGTGTTGCGGAAAGTATTTTTAATTTTTTTAAAACGCACTTACTTTCCACAGCACGTTCTTGACACTTTTTTTTTTTTTTTTTTTTTTTAATGTATTACGGTATTGCCACCACATTTATTTTTTCAACAATCCACTACACCTTTATGCAAGACTGTGAGATTCAATGGTTGATCTACTTAATGCAAGACTTGGGGATAGTTGGAAATCCTCCAGCTATGCTATTCTGTGACAGCAAGTCTGTTATTGCAATAACTGAGAATCCTGTTTTTCATAAGAGGACTAAACATATTGAAATTGACTGTCATTGAGTGAGGGAAAAGCTACAAAAAGGGTGTTAAAGTTACTCCATGTTACTACTACAAATAAGCTTGCTGATGTGTTTACAAAGCCACAAGCACCTAATACTTTCTGCAACTTCATCTCTAAGCTGTGCCTTCATAACATGTATAGTCCAGCTTGCGGGGGGTGTCATCAGATAGAAGTTCCAAGTCAGAAAGCTCCAACAAATAAAGAAACTTAGCTGAGTCTTATAGCTCAATTGACACTTAAATCTTTGTAACCATTCTAGAACAATTTCTGTTAGTAGTTAGTCTTTTTGTTTTTACTGTTAGGCTTCTCTTTCCCTTGCTTAGTTTTCCTCTTCTACTCATATATAATAGAAGAGAGCAACAGAACGTAAAGATGATGAAATAAGATCTGCAACAGTTTTTCTTCTTTCTGCTCTGTGTTTGCATTCTTCATGTTTATCAACAATAAATGAAATGGCATGGTTTGGTAAGGCGTGCTATCAGGGTTATATCAGTAACTGGCAAAAAATGGAATCCGGTTGGGGCATATTATGTTAATAATAACTGAAGCCAGTTAACTGTAAACTTAAAGTGTGAAACTTTACTTGTGGTGTCATTCCAAAGTCTACGTATCATCTTATAAATTGGTGTGGCTGAGGACGTATTAAAATTCAAAAACTAACGTTTTTTCCAACTCAAGTTAAACCTTCGAATTCAATTTTACCAAGCCTGATAAATCATTCTAAAATATTCTTTTAATTTGGTTGTGAAGAAAAGATCAGACTAATCGGATTCGCATCAAGTAGAGGAAGTTTCTGCATGCTGTCACCATACATACATGTCAGATTAATGTTGACTTAGCTTGCTGTTATTACTAGGTCTTCTTTAGCTGAATTGTCTTATTTATTTATTTATTTTAGTTATCTTGTCCTGTTTGTAGTGAGTGAAGTGTTCGTCATTTCCAGATCCACTTAGACAAGTAGGAGGAAGTTTCTGCATGCTGACACCATATATACATGTAAAATTTAATGTTGACTTAGTTTGCTGCTATTACTAGGTCTTGCTTAGCTTTTTTTTTTTGAAAGTTATTGGCTCTATTAGATTGTAGTATAAAGTACAAAAAACCAATAATGCCTCCATCATACTTTAAGTCAAAAGTTATAACTCAAGACACAATTTTATTTCTTTATAGACTGACATCATACTTTTCAGAGACAGGATATTGGATTTGATCGGGCCATTTTTCCAACAATTCCTTAGCCACCAATTGATAGACGTACTTGGCCCTTTATCGACCACTGCCCAACAAGACTAGATTCTGCAATTAGAAGGAAAATTAATATCATCAGAGACAGAGACATACAGCGTATTTAATATTGGCGTGCTATCTTGAATCTTTCATGGAAACTACTGAGTAATTAATTAACTTCAATTCCCTTAGTAGAGGCCAGGCCAAGAAAGATAGCTTCTTCATCTTCTCTAAACTCTAATAATTAATAGCATTCAGTAAAGAGTAGAAGAAGAAGAAGATGGGAGGAGTTATTAGAGTGTTGATGATTGTAATGAGTTTGGTGCTTGTGTGGTGTGCCATAACCACAAATTGCAAATCATCCCATTCCTATTCCCACCAGATAAACATAAACAACAACTGCACTTCTGCTTGTGGTGCCATTCAAAACATTAAGTATCCTTTCCGATTAGCCGGCGATCCCAGCTCTTGTGGCCTTCCCGATTACCAACTTTCCTGCGTAAACAACCGCACCATTCTTCTTCTCAACTCTAACAAGTCATTTTTGGTAGTTTCCATAAATTATGATAGGCTTACAATACGACTTCTGGATCCTGGTCTTGAAAAGAATCATGACAGCAACTTGTGCTCCCCACGTTATACTCTGATGAAGGCCGATGTACCCAAACAGTATTCATATTCCATCAACTCCAACTATCGTCCATTCGACTCCATGGCTGTGATGAACACTCCGGTGATATTCATCGGCTGTAGAAACCCAGCAAAATCCCCCTTATATGTGAAGATGGGGGGGTTGTGCAGTAACAACATTACTTCCCACTCTTACGTCTTAGTTGGGGGTATTATAGGAGACATAGAGAATTCATGTAGCATCACAGCGGTTGCTTGGTACTCATCATCTAGAGCTAGACGATACAGATCTGATGAAGAAGAAATTGGTGACGCACTGGCTTGGGGGTTTGAGCTCTTCTGGTTTCGTTTCAACTGTACTAATGAAGAGTGTATAGACCGATCATCTGAATACTGCTTCATTCGTATTGACGACATCGGCGCATTCATCCGCTGCATCAATGATACTTACAATTATCACCACTGCGATCTCTTACGTTGGCCTCCTCATTTAGACTTTAATAACACCGACTGTAAGTAAATTTCATCACCACACCATAATACATTAATCTTTATTTGATGGAATTGGATCTTTCCCATCTTTCTTTTACTTTCAATACTAAACCCATTAAATTCAAATAAGTTATACTGTAGGTGGTTTGGGGCCTGCCCAGGGCGGGGCTAATTGTTACTCTGCTTCAAAAATGATGTATTTCCAGTTAACATATGATGTATCTTTAATTAACATACAGAGTATTATATATATATATATATATATATATATATATATATATATATTCTGTTAACTGAAACCAATTAACTGTAGATACATAATTTAAATATTATTTTTTAGGGTTGGGATTCAACCTTTTGGAAGAATAATTTGAATGTTATTTTTTAGGGTTGGGGTTTAACCTTTTGGAAGAATAATTTGAATGTTATTTTGGATTAGGATTCACTTGCCTTATCATTTTGGATTAAGATTCACCTTCTTCATTTATGGTATAATTTGTCTGGCGGGGCGGGGCAAAATAAAATTAATTCCCATCGTGTAGTGCTACACTTCTGAGATGAATGAAGTGGATAAGTAATATGCATGAAGTCCAGAATAGGAAAAAAAAAAAAAAAAAAGCACTTGTCCATTTGGTTGCATTTTTGGAAGAAGAATTGAATGTCCAATCTCAACTACTATACGCTAACACTGTTTCTCATTGGATAATATAATGCAGGTCTACCAGACCTGTGGTATTGTAAGTTCACTACCCTCCATTTCTAAAAATACTCTTTTCTCATATACTTAATATACTCATTATTTTGCTTCTTTTTTTTTTCAAATTAAATCACAGATGACAGTGCAATACTAGGCGAATACATTAGTAAGATTATATATATTCTCTCCATAAAAAGCTGTGTTGATATATTATTGATGTTTTATTTGATCCTACCTCCTGCTTTTTTAGTTTAATTTTTATTTATCTTTGCAGAGTATATCACAATGGGAAGATTTAGTTTGGGGTTACTATTCCTAATCAGCATTGTAATGTATAAACTACGGCGGCGCCACTTGTCAGCTTATGACACCATTGAAGACTACCTAAGCGGTCCAAACAACCTCATGCCGATAAGGTACTCCTACTTCGAGATCAAGAGAATGACAAATAATTTCAAGCACAAATTAGGTGAAGGAGGCTATGGAACTGTGTTCAAAGGAACACTCAGAAGTGGCCCTTTTGTTGCTGTAAAGATGATGGGCAAATCCAAGGCTACTGGCCAGGAATTCATTAGCGAAGTCGCCACTATTGGTAGGATTCACCATACTAATGTTGTGCGCCTCATTGGCTTCTGTGTTGAAGGCTCAAAGCGTGCGCTCTTATATGAATTCATGCCCAATGGTTCCCTAGAAAAATATATATTCCCAAAAGAAGAAAGCATTTCATTGAGCCATGAGAAAATGTTTGACATCTCCCTTGGAGTGGCTCGTGGGATTGATTATTTGCACCGGGGTTGTGACATGAGAATATTGCACTTTGATATCAAGCCACACAACATTCTTCTTGACGAGAACTTTAGCCCAAAAGTGTCTGACTTTGGACTAGCGAAATTGTATCCCGTTGAAGATAGTCTTGTGTCACTCACTGCAGCAAGAGGCACAATGGGCTACATGGCACCGGAATTGTGCTACAGAAACATAGGCGGAATTTCGCACAAAGCCGATGTTTATAGCTTCGGGATGTTGCTAATGGAAATGGTAGGGAGAAGAAAGAACTTGAATCCATTTGTGGAGCAGCTAAGCCAGATTTACTTCCCTTCATGGGTTTACGAGCAACTCAAAGATGGGAAGGACATTGACATGGGCGATGCAACAGAGGAGGAAAAGAAGGTTTCAAAGAAGATGATAATAGTGGCACTGTGGTGTATACAGATGAATCCTAGTGAGCGTCCAAGCATGAAAAAGGTAATAGAGATGCTTGAAGAAGAAGATGTTGAATTGCTAGAAATGGCGCCAAAGCCTTTCTTGTCTCCGGATGAAGTGCCGACTGATGAAAATTCCTTTCCAAATGCTCAAAATGTGGAGTCGCCACTGTTATCAGATAATCCGGTGCGCTCCTCTAGTTTTGAAGTGTGTGAGAACTAAATAATATATATGCAGCTTATTACAATGCTCTGTTCTGTAATATTTTTATTTTAGTTTGTTTATGATATTCCTGAAAGTACTTGAACAACCTTGCTTAGCCTAAATAAACTAAAATAATAAAATTTGTTTTCTGTATCATGCCCTTAGACTGGATTTATCCTTGAAAGAGGCATACTTTCAAGCCCATGTGCTGCCTATAATTTTTTATTTTATTTTTTAGTTTACACGTGTATTGCAAGCTTGCAATACAGATTTGGCAGCTTTTGTACATTATTTTTTAGAAAATATCTCATTTTTAGTCTTTCAATTAGTACCTCATTTGCAATGTTATCCTTACTTTTCAATTTAGACAGATTTGATCCCTCAATAAGTCTGACGTTAGTCAATTTAGTCCTTCTGTGAATAAATCACCCTTAACTCCATTTAGACCATGTGTATAATTGGGATTTCACATAACATTGATTATTTCTACCCAATTTCTTCCCCTTCCTTGCTTATGTCGTCTGCCATTTCCTCCGCCGCTTAACTATCTAAAATGTCACAACACATCTTTCCAGCTAAACAAAGGCTTAAGTTTCTTTGCTTGTCCAATTTTGCACTGTATATCTTCTTCCACTCTAGAACACAATCTGCCATCTAAGAGCTGCATTTCTCCTGCAATTTCTAATGCCTTACACACCATAGCATAAGTATATTCCCTTGGAATTGATCTTCCTTGCACCGACTCAAAAAGCAAATCCCATGCCTCCTAAACCCAGACAACTCCATTTGCTACAGTAAAAACTTGGCTTTCTTGAAGTTTCCAACTCTACAAAGGGCATATATGAGAGTGTTGTAAGCATGGACATCAGGTCTGTAGTGAAACTGTTTCATCCTGTAAAAGGTGAACAATGCTTCGTTAACCAGCCCTTCTTCTCCCAGGACTTTTATCAAACAGGTAATGATCGGCGTGGTGACAAGCCCTCTTTTCGACATTTTCTTGAGGAAGTCCATGAGGAGTTTCAATCTACCTCCGCCTTTCGCAAGAACAACAACCATCTCTCTGCAAGTGAGCTCATTGTGAGTAAAATTGCAACTGGTTTCAACCCAATCGAAAAATTCCAATGCTTTGTCTAGCCCTAGCTGCACTTTCTCGGGGTCCTTGTAAGCAGTCGGACTGAGAACGAGTTTTCCATAGCGAGCCTTGTCGAATTCTTGCCTGAGATTTCTTTGTTTCAGAGGGGAGCGACGGCGAAAACCGTCCTGGCGACCAATGGATATGGGTGACTAGAAGAGGAATTGGGGATGGAGCGTAGGACCTCGTAAACCATTTCCACAGTCCAAGCATGTCGAGGTGTTGAAGCCGAGAGGATGGCGTTTAATGGCCGGTTTTGAATAATTGCGACTAAGATTTAATCTGTGACGGCGCTTTGGGAGAGAGAACGTAGAGTGGTCTTGATGAGAACATGAGTCTCATACAACTCACTTCATCGTCTTTAATGAGGACTGAGGAGGGCCTCCTCCATATAAAGGCCACTGCATATTGCAAAATACTCAACCATCTATCTGAATTTGGAATCATTGAATTTAAACAAAAATGGCTATTGGCAACGGCGGAGGAAGACATTATCGTCTAAGAAAGTGGGGGAAGAAAGATGGCAGACGACGGAGGAAATATATGGCAATGGGGAAGAAATTGGGTAGAAATAATCACTGCTATGTGAAATTCCAATTATACCCATGGTCTAAACAGAGTTAAGTGTGATCCACTCACAAAAGGATTAAATTGACTAACGTTGACTAATTGAGGAACCAAATTTGTCCAAATTGGAAAGTAAGGATAACATTGAAAATGGAGTACTAATTGAAGGACTAAAAGTATGATTTTTCCTTCTTTTTTTAAATTTAATTTTATTTTTTGGTGAGATCGTCTCCACACAAAGCTGACCCTTCTGAATCTGGCTCCGTTGGCATCGACAACTATGAGCCCAACAAATCCTCAAGAGGAGCCTCTAAGACCGTTATACACCAATCCTTGACCAATATTGACAAGAAAATCGGCACATTTGTTACATTCACTCACCACATTTTTAAAATTTTATTTTATTATATATATGTATATATTTATTGAAAAATATATTAATTTATTATTGTGATATGAAAGTGGGATCACTTTTGAAAATGAGATAGTATTATAGAGATGTAAAGAAAATATAGAAGAGTTATTTTCAAGAACGATTTGATTTTTTATTTTTTTATTTGGAAAACCAAAGGCAAAGCGGTTGCATTAAATCAAGAAATCACAAAGTTAAAGAGATTAACCTTCCCAATAACAAACATGAGAAGCAACTGCTATAGCAAGAACATGGACAAGTTGGTTCGCTGATCGCCTAATATGAACTATTCGACACAACGCTAACGAGTTCAAAATAGAATGACAATCGTTAATAACAGACCCAACATATGAAAGACAAGACCACCTACCCGTGAGGGCATAGACAAGGTTCAAGCAATCAGACTCAATACTAACATTCAATAAAGATTAGTCTTCGATCTCAAAAGGGCCTCCCTACAAGCCATTGCTTTTGTGAACAGAGGATTGTGCGGGCAATCAAGGCTGCCATGAAACTCCATTTTCTCTTGCTATCCAAGCCCCATACGTTGCCGAACCTGCTCCTAGAGGAAGATCGGCGTTGAATCTGCATACAAAGGAACCAGCACCCTCCTCCGCACTTCCATCCCCCACCACCCCTCCTTGCGCAACTACCCCTCTAGCCCCCACCAATTGCACCGCCTGCCACGATGCTATTGCCACCGTCGCCCTCCTACACACACCGGCCGACCTCACTAATCTTTGCTCCTGCTTCATTACGTGCTTCCCAAATAACATATAGAACTGCAACAGCTGAAACAAGGGAATCACTGTCAATGCATGCAAAAACCATGTTTAACCACTCTGCCATAAACCAATTTTAATTTAGAGCACAGGAAGCGTGAGTTATGAGCTACTCCAAACTGCATGTGCAAATTCACACAAAACAAATACATGTTCCACTATTTCTGAATGATCTAGCCCACACACCTTGCACTCCACCGCTACATCTACCATCATTCTCCTTAAATTCAGAACCACCGGCAACACACCTCTTGCAAGCCTCTATAATAAAAGACTTCCATTTTGGTGGTATTTTAAACTTCCACAATGAAGACCATTTCTCAAATTCCCCTATTGGGTTGTCCACATGCATTGACTCCACCAAACACTTATAGCCAGTCCTTACCGTATAATGTCCCCGAATATCCCCTTCCAGTACCAAGTATCCTCAAGACCTGAGCAAATGGGAGTTTGTAAAATTAACCCCACATCCTATACTAGGTTCCAAAATATCCTGTAGTACGTCTAGGTCTCAACTACTTGAATCAGGAATCATTAGGCTTGCCACCGTCAGGTAGCCAGGTGTGTGCCTAAATATTAATTAGTGCTCCGACTATCTCCAATTTTGCGCCTTATCCCACTTTGTAATAATCCCTTTGCTGCCAAAATACTCCTCTAACAGTAACTAGGATTGCAACCCAAAGTATCCCAAAAAAAAAAAAAAAACTATTAGGGAAACACTGAGCATTTAAATCCTCGCAGCTAGTGATGTGGAATTGGTAAGAAAATGCCAGCCCTACTTGGCAAGCAATGCCAAGTTGAAAGCTTGAAGCTGTTTAATCCAAGCCCCTTTGACTCTTTGCACCACATATTCTATCCCAAACAAGCCAATGAATGCCCCCAAAACTACCAATATCCTTCTACCAGAATCTATTCATAATATGTTCCAATGTAGTGCAAACCGAACTCAGTAAAAGAAAGACACTCATAGAAAATGTTGGCATTACCTGAGCCACATTCTCCAACAAAATTTCCTTCCTCGCCCAAACTTTTTATTCCATGATCCCACTCTATACCTAATCTTCTGCTCAACATAGGCGAAAACTGCCCTCATATTACAACCAATGAAAAAAGGAATGCTAAGATACTTACCAAAATCATCAGCCTGGCCACGTCAAAAATCCTTGCCACCACGTACCTAACTCCAGGTTGGGTGTTTCGGCTAAATGAGATGTTGGACTTATGATAGTTCACCTCCTGACCAAAGAACTCCTCATAGATACCAATTAATTCATGACTTCACTACCGTTGCTTCGTCCTCATCAACCCTAAAAAACAATAAACTATCATTAGTAAAAACATATCATATACCACCGGGGCACTCCTAGCCACTATACATCCATGTATTGCCCCTTGAGACAAGGCTTCCTACAACAACAACAAGAGACCATCCGCACACATAATGAACAAATAAGGCGAGAGTGGATCTCCTTGCCTTATCCCTCGAATTGGTACCACTGTTCCGCTAGTTGCCCCATTTACCAAAATGTTGTAGCTGACAGTAGTAACACAGAGCATTATGATCTCCAGTTCTCCACCCACTGACTCACAAACCCCAGCCCCTCAAGCATTTTCCTCATGAAACTCCACTCCATCCTGTCATATGCCTTTGCCATATCTAATTTCAGTGTCGGTCACCCCATATTCTCGCACTGGTTAAGATTTTGAAAGTGCCCAATTCAGCTGCAACCAAAATATTATTAGTGATTAATTTCCCAAGGATAAAAGCACTCTGGTCTACGAGATCAACCGCCCTAGCAGCGGTTTCATACGATTGACGACCATTTTTACCATGATCTTATACACCACATTACAGAGTGCAAATGGGTTTAAGATCTGCTACAGTTTCGGGAGCCTACTTCTTCGGGATCAAACATTGTTTGCATTATTTAGACTGGGTGGGAAGACCCTACTATTGAAACAGCCCAACACAAACTCACACATATCCCCCCAGCCACATCCAAGAAACTCTGGAAAAATCTTGGGTTCATACCATCCAACTTAGGAGCCTTATCGGGACGCATAGAGAAAAAGACCTCCTTTACCTCCTCTAACGTAAAAGGAAATAGCAACCCCTCATTCTGCTCCTGAGAGACCCGGGACATTAGTGACATAGGGAAAGCCCCTGGCCTAGCCCATGTAGAACTAAAGATACCCCCAATAGTAATCCAAAACCACAACCTTCATCCCCTCTCCCTCCACCCAACGACCTTCATTATCCCTCATTTTCTTCCTCTTTCTAGCCAAAGCATAATTATGGAAGAAATGGGCATTAGTGTCCCCCTCACGGAGCCAACGTTGTTTCGCCCTCTACCTCCAAAAAAAACACTCTCCTACCCCAGCACTCACTACAACTGCCTATCCAACTGTGAGAACCTTGCTAGTGACACCTCATCCCTCATCCCCCTCTACCGATCCATTTCATTATGCAGTTTCCCAATAGTTCTACCAAACTTGTGAAACCTCTCACCACCCCACCTCCCCAAACTTGTACCACACAACCCCAACCGCTCTTGCAACCCCAAACCTGTTGACTCCGCCCAAGCCCCCTGAACCACCCCTCTACAGTCCTCCTCAAACAGCCAAGCATTTTCAAAACGAAAACTCATTCTCCTACCACCCTCCTCCGTACGGCCATGAAAGTCCAAGAAAAGAATCGAACGATCCGAATTGAGTGTAACCACATTATAGAGTATAGCTCCCCTATACATATCACACCACTCCTCAACCGCTACCACCTTATCTAGTCTTTCCTCCACCCACTCTCCCGTGCCCCTTCCCCTCTCCCAAGTGAATGGGTACTGTAACACCCCTAATTTTTAAATAATTAAAAGCTTATATAAATAACGCAAACTATCATTAATCATCCCAAACAGAGCATAAATGATCCGTAAGAGTCGGGGTGTTATGCCACATCTAGGTTTGAGAACCTAGATGCACAGGCTAAACTAACCGAACAAGGCATAAATTATAATCACTATCCACAATACAATTCAAGGCTCACAGGCCATCTAACTAATACTAAGCTAAATCCTCGAGTTCATCTAACGCGCTTCGAAGCTACTGATCTGCACCTGAAAAATATACGGTGTAACAACCGTCAGCGAATAATGCTGGTAACCCACTCCAACGCGTTAAGTACAATATAGGTAGATATAAGAAAATCAGAGTTAATACCCAATATAGTCCTCGACTATAGTGGTATTACTCAGTTTAGTCCTAAATGACTTTTTGTACTCTATTTAGTCCTTGACTTTGATGATTTTACACACTTTAGTCCTTGGTTAAGAATTCCGTTTGCTGACTGTTAATAACAAGGTTAACATGGTAATTTCATTTCCCTTTTAGTTTTTTATCAGATTAAATATTAATTATCTTTCCTAATTTTTAGATCAATGATGGAGGGGAAAATCCCAGGACCTCCATTACAGGTCCCTCTCAATCAGATCGACTTCGCTGCCAATAACGGCCAAACCGCCAAGTCTGTCTTCTTCAATCATATCTTTCACACTCAGCGGTGGGTCTCTAATATCTCTAATTCCTCGCGTTCTTCACCATGTTGTCCGCGGTCATATTCTGTTCACCCATAATATGGACCATTTGGATATCCCAAGATTTCTCCAACCATCTCTGACAGTCTTCTATAAGCTACCGTACGTTGCCTCTGGGTGAAGAGACGCCATGAATTCCATCAATAGCTTCCTTCAAAACTGGGTTGCCATAAACATTAAACGCTGCCGCCATTGTTGTATCGGCAGAAGACAATGCAGCAGAATTTGGTGCAGATTCTTTCTTCTTATCCGGTTATCCCTAATGTAACTCAGACCTCGAACTTTAAAGGTGTTTGGTTCAATTGATGACCAACATATAGAAATGTTCTTTTCCAGCGGGGAACATGGAACTTGAGAACCAGCTATAGAAATCATCATCACCATCAGAACCAACTCCTGTTTCCGGGTCAAACTACGCTTTGTTGTTTCCTTGGAATGCTGGATTGCAATAAGACGAATTCGCGGAACCGGAAGAAGGCTCCACTTTGCTGAGCTTATTGTGGGACAAAGAGCGGCCCCTCGCCACCCTCCGCCGCCGTGGCTTGCCAAGATTCAGGCAACCAAATCCCGCACAACCTCTCGGAGTCCACCCAGAAGAAGCGGGGGGGGGGGGGGATTAGGAAAGATAATTAATATTTAATCTGATAAAAAATAAAAGGGAAATGAAATTACCATGTTAACCTTGTTATTAAGGTCAACAAACGGAATTCTTAACCAAGGACTAAAGTGTGTAAAACCATCAAAGTCAAGGACTAAATAGAGTACAAAAAGTCATTTAGGACTAAACTGAGTAATACCACTATAGTCGATGACTATATTGGGTATTAACTCAAGAAAATCATTTTGAAACCGAAATACATATATAACCTAAGCAACTCTAGCTTTAAACCAGGATCAAGACACAAGACACAACAACAAACTTGATACTATAGAACGATCATAAAGACTAGCATGCATCCTAAGAACACAAGACAAGGCATAATAGACAAGTAAGCTCATAAATAACAAATAGAGACAACAATGGGATTCAAAGACAAGGCATAATAGATAAGTAAGCTCATAAATAACAAATAGAGACAACAATGGGATTCAAAGACAATCGATTAGCAAGTAATCATCAAACACACAATCCATCTTCCGACCTTATACCAAGTTCCAACCTTTTTACTCCTCTCCGTTCTTATATCAGTTCCAACATGTACCTCCAGGCCACCCTTATATCGCCTCCCTTATTCCTCCGGAACAACTACATGCCCCACTCCGTAACCACCAACAAGTCCACCAACATGGTAGCACCGATGTGTCATTCGCATGGTCCGTGTCTCTAGCACCAATACCAAGGGGTTAGCGCATATAGCTCTAACATGACACCGCGACGCTTATACCCTGACCCAAGCCTTTAGCTAGCAAGTCTAAGGGGTGGTCCGTGCCTTTAGCACGATAACCGAGCACTCGTTGTGCTTTCCGCCAACAATTCATCTCCACCAATCACAATCTCATTCTCACCAGTCACATCGATCATTGTGCAATGATTACAACACCCATCATCATTCAATCAATCAATCAATCATGTAATCAACAATAACAATCAAGGCACATTAACAAACGACACACACACTACACACAAATTCCTAGAACGGTACTCAAAACATCATACGAGACTCATAAACATCAAACGGGGTAAAACAGGACACAACGGGACACGGGGAAACATCAAACGGGGGAAAACATTACGCCACTCCACCAATTTCCAGCGGGTGGGTAGCCCCCTTTCTAGCGGGTGCCCGGCGGGCAGACCACTGCTCGCCGGCTGCCCGCTGGAACTGGGCACGCCGGGCAGCGGGTAGGTGGTGGGGACTCGTCCCCCCACTGGTACGAAGGTAGAATTCCCGGTTCGGGGTTCGTTCGTGGAACCCAAAACCATGTCCAAACACATTCTGACACGTAACAACAATATCACGGATTCAATTAACGAAGATTAAACCAAGAATCATTTCAATTACGTTCTAACACGATTCCTAAACATGCCAAGACTCGACATCAAATACATAACGGTTCAGGAGCATCCGGATCCTCAAGAACATCAAGAAATCTATATGCAAAAACCCTAAAGACAAGTCTTAGGCTAGACTCAACACCCGAGCATGCATAAACCCCCCCAATAACACCAAGAATATCATAACACAGGATTCACGATATAAACCCTAAGGACAAGCTCTAGACATAAATAAATACAAGATCACACATATAATCAATCACAACATCAAGATCATCAAGATTATCAAATAAACACAACATAAACCCTAGGCAAAGCTCTATCACTACTCAATCCCAGAATCACACATACAATTATCAAAGGAGCCAATAATCAAGATATAGCAAGGAAAATAGGTTTTGTAAGATATGGGTTACCTCTTAGCCCTAATCGTTTTCCCTCGACTACTAAGGTTCTTCCCTAAGATTCTTCTCCCAATTGATCTTCCTAAGCTTGTTGGTGGGGGATTTCCTTGGCTGGATTTCCTGAGAGATTTTCGAGTAAGAATGATGTGAGGAAGGGTTCTATCTGCTGCCTAATCTTCTATTTATATGTTTAAGGGAAACCTATCCAGAGTCTGGATAGTAAGACCCACTTTCCTTATTCCCTACGGGCTTAAAGTTTCTAGTTCAGGCAAAGGTTCACGATCCATTGAAGACCGCATAGATTAATTAAGAGAATTATAATTGGATTAAATCCTTCTTTAATCATTTTAATTAACGGAATTAATTTAATAATTAATTCGGGTTTGAAGGCCGTAACACGGGGTGTTACAGGTACCCCCACCGTAGGAAGTTACAACAAACCACACTCTCCCTACACCTCGCAGAACCCATGGACCAACCCCACATGATGCGAGTGCAATCCTCTTTTCTCTGACTGGGCTACCAAATCATTGAAATCCCCTAAAACCATCCACGGTAACTCAAACCACCCTCTTAATGACCTTTGTAAACCCCACGACTCCACCCTCATACTCCACTCAGGATAACCATAGAAGCACGTAAGCCTCCAAGGTTGGGCAGCAACAAAAGTGGCCTCCAAATCAATATGATTCCTCGAGTAACTCAGCAAACATTGTTAAGCATCCAAAGTAACACTATTCCACCTCCCCTCCCCTCACCTCTACATAGAAGAGACCCTGAAACCCCAGCCTCACTCGCAATGTTTCTACATGAACTCGACTAACCTTGGTCTCCATTAAGAAAACCAAGGGGCTTCTTCTTAGACACTAGGTCCACAACCTCCCGAAATGTCATTGGATTTCCCAAACCACGACAGTTCCAGCTAAAGGTACTCATTGCGACGGGCAGGTTTGGTCCCTAGAACCCTCCAAAATCTGACCATTCGATGCCTCACTGATAGCCACATCAATACCTCTTGAGCTACCACCCTCACCAGCCCGTCTCCTCTTCGGCCCCAAAACCATCCCATCCCCAACCGCCAACTGCATACCACTATCTACCACCACCAAAGCCCGAATCACCACCATTCCACCTCCCGACCGAACACCATACACCATCCTATTTCCCCTCAAGACTACCGCCGAACCTCCATCCCCACCTGCGATCTCCCCATATCTCTTTGTGGCCCCTGAACCAACAACGGGGCCCCCACCCCTCTGCCATCTCTTCCCGCACCACCCTGCAACCAACCCCCATGTGGATAGCGATCCGATGCAACACCCGACTCTCACCAACCCACAGTATCAATCAATATGGCCTAGTACTCCACAAAAGAAGCATAACTTATGCAATCTCTAATACTCAAAATGGACCCAAGACTACTCATCATCACAGAGCGGTTTGAAGTTATTAATGAAAAGTCTCTAGCAGTTCCTACATTTTTTCATTTTTTTTTCTCTCCACTTTACTTTTCTCTCTTTTATCCATATCATTCTTGGCCATAAATGCACTAATATTATTCTGGAAAATTGAGTTAGGGAAGGCTGAGTTTACAGTTGTTTTCTCCTTTACAAAGTAATATATAATATAATAAATTTTGAAATTAGGAAATTAGTTATACATACAATTCGTCCAAACTGATTTTCAATCATTATTGCGTGAATCGTGGTCCACACAACTGTGTGGACTACGGTTCAAAAGCACATAAAATATATTATTTTAACTCATAAAATACATTATCTTACTCTATAAATTTTATTAATCTAAAACACAAATGTACATTATTCATTATTCTTACTCATAAAATACATTATTTTAACACATAAAATACATTATCTTACCCTAGAAATTTCATTATTCTAACACATATAAAGTACATTATTCTAACTTATAAAATACATTATCTTATTCAAGAATATTTATTATTCTAACACATGAACACGATTTTTTCTTAACATCAAAATAATAATGTCGTTTTAAATGTGATCCACACAACCAGACGTTATGCCATGGAACCGTGTTCACCATTCATGGTGAACACGGTTCCAACGGTGTTAGTACACCGTTATCTTCTTTTTTTTTTTTTTTTTTTTTTTTTTTTTTTTTTTTTTTTTTTTTTTTTTTTACGTGACTGCCTACACATTCACTTTGGAACCATGCCTACACATTCACTTTGGAACCATGGGATTATGAATTTTCTGTTATAAGATTATGAATTTTCTGTTATGAGATTATGAATTTTCAGTTATGAGATTATGAATTTTCTGTTATGCGATTATGAATTTTCTGTTATGAGATTATGAATTTTCATTACATTCATAATTTCGGACATTCATAAATTATGAATTCATGCATGCACATTCACTTTGGAACCATGCCTACATATTCCCGTCCGAAATCACGGACATTCATAAATTATGAATCTATGCCTGCACATTCACTTTGGAACCATGCCTACACATTCACTTTGGAACCATGAGATTATGAATTTTCTGTTATAAGATTATGAATTTTCTGTTATGAGATTATGAATTTTCAGTTGTGAGATTATGAATTTTCTGTTATGCGATTATGAATTTTCTGTTATGAGATTATGAATTTTATGAAAATTCATAATCTCATAACAGAAAATTCATAATTTGATCAGTAACGCGCCGTTAACTCCACATCCGCGATTTGCCTAAAAACGACGTCGTTTTGACTTGTGTTCACCATTCTCGGTGAACACGATTCCACGGCATAATTTGCGCCACA